CACACAAAAAATAATAAAAAGAGCAAGAATCTCAGTTAAAAGACTAATGTAAAAAGAGAAAAGGCCACATGGGGACAACCTTATCTGACCTTTACCTACTTGGCAAAGGGGAACTGTCCCAGCATCATTAGCACAAAACTAATTCCCATGAGGTCAGACATGTTCCCTAGACTCCCGTACTTCTTTCTGCTCATCCGATGCGGTAGCTTACAGACCACACAAAACCATATTGGGAAGTCAAAGGGTATAATCCAGATTAATAACAATATAGTCAAGACAGCTCCCAGAATGCATCTCAGCCTCAGGTCTTGCAGGTTGGTGTTTCCTGAGTTCTCAGTCCTGCCAGAATTGGCCCCCCCCAAGGTCCCAGCTCACATCAGGCCTCCACTTTGGCTGTAGGTGTTGCTGCCATAGGTGTAGCTGGAGCAGAAAGGGCTTCTTCCTACATTGTCTTGATTTCTTTTCAGTGGCACAAGAAGAGCTGTGTGCAACTAGAGCTGTTCGGTTTATTGGAAAGATTAGCCATACCCCTTGTGGGATGGCAGATAGCCGTCCCCTTGTGGATGGATAAGCTAACATGCCCGTTCACATTTCTGCCTATCTGCATAGCAAGAGTCAAACCATGGCTAGCAAAAGTCATATTAAAAGATCAACTTCGTAACTAAAGCACATCTGATCCAAGTCCTGGCATTTTCAGTTGTTTCTTGTGCATCTGAAAGTTGGACAGAGAATAAAGATTGAAAAATAATTTATGTCTTTGCATTGTGTTACTGAAGAATACTGAGTATTGCATGGACTGCCAGGTGAAGAAACAAAACTGTCTTGCTCCTTTGTGGCTAGGATGGTGAAAGGCATGTTGTCAAGAATGGTCAGTTCCTGCAGAGAAAACATGCAGGAAAGAAAGGATCATCCACGAGGCGGATCGCCAGTGACTGCCACAGTTGCACGTAAGCGTGGCTGTGAGGATGGTGCAGGACGGAACACGGTTCAGATGTGCTGTTCACAGGATTGCGGGGAGTCATCATCAGGTCAGCAGCTCCTAACAGTGGCTACTTCGGAAAACTTGTTCAGTTTAAAAAGCATAGCATTTCTCTAAGTTGCCGTTTTTAGAAGACCCAGAAGCACCGAGCACAGCCCACTCTATCAAGAAAAGAAACAGCCCTGATGCACTCCTTTCTTAAAGCATGCAGTGCTCCCTGACACTGTTCACACAGTAGCCTCTTGATATAGGTAGAGGTTTCACGTGGCAGATGGACACCATCCTCGGAAAAGTGGAAGGTTGGCGAAAGAGAGAAAGACCCTTGGTCAGATAGATTGATACAGTGACTGCAGCAAGGGGGCACGTGGAGGACAGCCTTCAGATCTATCGTCCTCAGCTCGATGGCACCTAACAATGACCACGTGCATGTGAGAGCATTCTCAGTGACACCGGCTATACTACTCTCGCAAGGACTCCCAAGAGATTCTGCTGACAATCCCAGAGGTACGCGGTTCAAATCCACCAGATGCTCTGCTGGAGAAGGAGGGGGCAATCTCCTCCTGTACCAGTCAGATCTGATTTGACGGTACACGTAAAATAATACAATAAAAATGTAAAAAAATTTTTAAAAAGAAAGATTCTGCTGACCTCCTGCCAGGATGGCTCCTGGGAAATGAAAGCCAGGGTCCACAGTAAGTGTAAAGACCAGTGTTGCTGTGGCATATGGGTGGTGGTGGTGTGTACCATCAAGTTGGGACCAACCCACAGCTGACCCTTCCGCCAGTTTTCAGAAGTAGTTCTCCTGTGAAGCACATGCCTTTGGGATTGCAGTGCGTCTTCTTATCACTAGGCCAGCAGAGTTCCCTGGCATTTGATAGCAGACTGGAAAAGCTTAGAGTGGATGTGCAGAGCCATAGAGCACACCAGCTGGGCCTGTGCCATCAGAGGGCCCTGAGGCCGCGCCAGTCTATCAGTGATAGAATGGACAGCTCTCCCATCTCTGAGACCCGCCAGGAAGCCCATGTGAGTAAGGCCAGAGCTGAGGTGAGAAAGGTGGGTTGTCTTCTCTTACACACTTAGCATGAAAGTCATTTATTAAAGGTGTTGTGCACGGTTTCCTCCAAGTGTGTGGATTGCACTTCCATTTTAAAAATCTTGCAAAGAAAACATATTTTCAAATGTCATTGTTGTTGCTCAGGATATACACAGCACAGCATAGACCGGCTGAGAAGTTTCTGTATGTGCAGTTGAATGGCCCTGATGACACTCAGTGGTATAATCAATTTGATGTCTAATTCAGTGACAGTGAAGACATGGAGCCCTGCGCTCACTGCATCGCTGGTTTTCTGTCTGCTCTTCTGAGTCGCTTTGTTCAGTTTGATTCTCCAGAAAGAGCTTGAATGACCATAGCATGCAATGCAGACATTTTTTTTTTGCTGATTAAAACTCATTTGGTTTTAAGATTTCAGGAAATGGTTTTATTTAACGTTTAAAGAGTACCAAGGACATTAGTTTCAGGGTCCATCCAGCCTTCCTGGCTCCAGAAAGTCTGAAGTCCAGGAGAATTTAAATGTTTTTTTATCTTGATGAAGTTTAATTTTTTCTTTCCCCCCATGGTTTATCCTTAGACATCTCCATTCTCTCACGGCCTCACTCACCTTCTTTTGATCATGGTATGGGCAGGGTGACAGCATGGAAAGCCTGCCTGCCTGCACTTCCACTCCACCTCGGAGTGCCTGAGCCAGTGAGGGGCCTCTACTGCAGGAGACAGAGGCCAGGCCAGAAGGCATCCCCTTCTCAAGTTCTAGTCGGCCTCCTGCTGCTTCGCTAGAGCAGTTCCCTCGTCGACTCAGGCAGAATCCAACTATGCATTAGGCTCTTACAACCAGAAGCCTTACTGTGACCTCTGCTTGTCCAGACTGGCCGTGGCCCACCTCCGGACCCATCATTGCATGAGGAAGAATCTGGGTGAAGGCTGTCTCATCAGAACCTCAGGAACTGAATTGGGAAGTGGGCTCCCCAAAAGCAGCACCCCAGCCCTGCTGTCACAGGGAAAGGACATGAGTCCATCATCATGAGACCTTTGTTTCCTGCCAGTCCAGAGGTCAAGGTCCTCTCCCAGAAATGGTGTACAGTCCCTCACGCTGGAGCTATTAGTTTAGTAGCTAGTTTACTAGCTTTCCGTTAAGAAACCATTTGTTAAGACCTGTTCTTGTTGAGCTTCTCAGCAGCCCTGCCCTGAAGAGCTCAGGCCGAGAGGCCTCTGTTGTATAGTGGCAGGCAGTACTGACACGTGAACTAACACTGGGACGAGGTGGCTGCACCCTTCCTGGGAGAGGCCAGTGAGAAGCTTGCTGACCAAGGACCTGTGGGCGGAGCAGGGGCAGCCAAAGGGCTGAGCAGCTGAGATTTGGCGGCTCCCAGCCTGAATTTGGGCTCTGAAAGGGTTTCTGTGACAAGACACTAAGACTGTCCCCCAGTGAGTCCTAAGCCTCTGAGTGCCCTCACAGTGCTGGAAGTGTAGAAACTCATTTTGGAGTTGGAGCTCTGTGGTGACCAGGCCGTGGTCGTCCGTGGCCGCAGTCATGAGCGTGACCCAGAGCAGACCGTGTTCCATCCTGTGTCATGTTGCTCACAGCTGACTGGACGGCACCTGACCACAGCCGTTAGGATGACTGTTGTGTTGGCAGCCCTGTCAGGAGCTGCCGCTTTGTGTCTTCTGTCTGCCTCACAGTAGCTCACTCAGCACCGATTTTAGCTCCTGCTGCTTTTCCCACGTTGCAGAAAGGGTCTCCCTTAACCCTGTGCTGTTCCCATTGTCCTGTTGGTTGTGACTCAGGGGGGCCTGGGCCCTTTCCAGGCTGAAATACGTGGCCTCTTCTCACAAGTGGATGTGGGCTCAGCCCTCGGTCCTTGTTCAGCAGCCAAACACTCAGCCTGTCCCCTCCAGGGCTGCCCTCAGGAATCTGACCTGTCCTTTCAAAGGAGTGGCCTGGTCACTTGACAACACGGCCTGCTGACTCAGCCTGTCCCTCCAGGGCTGCTCTCAAGAATCTGACCTGTCCTTTCGAAGGAGTGACCTTGTCACTTGACAACACGGCCTGCCGTGTCCAGCTCTACTGAAACCCAGAGTATGCGCAGGGCCGACGGTGGGGCATCCTGTCCGGCCTCCATTCCCCACGCAGACATGGCACGTCCTGAGGTTAGGCGACCTCTTCTACCCAGCTCTCACATGAACCAGTACTCACGTGTGTGGTGGTGAATCTGACTGCAGTCCCAGAGGTGTGCGGTTCAAACCGATGGAGCGGGGTGTGTGGGAAGAAGGTGTGCACTGTGGCTGATGGGCAGCTCTTGTCCCTTCCTGAACCCTGACCCCCTCCCAGCCGGACATGTGTTTGCTCAGATGGCCAGCCCTGCCTCATGGTGTGCTGCCGCTTCTGCCTGTGCTCCGCTGAGGCGTCAGAAGTCAGCGTCCACGTCAGCCTCTAGGCATCCCAGGACCATGTTCTTGCCAGTCACTAGTGAAGGGCGTGATGGCACAGCTGTGGACGGACATGCGCCTCCCGCCAGGGGTCACCTGTCACCTTCTGAGCTGCGGCCACATCTTTGCACGTCTCAGAAAGCTCAGGCTTTTCCGCTCTGCCCTGCGTGCAGAGTTCTCCTACCTTTCTTGCCTTCCATGTGGTTTGCTGACCCTGCTACACGGCACTGTCCTGTTGGGAGGGTCTCTGCATGTCAGCAGCCCAGCAAGCAGCTCAGGAGAGCTTGAGCCTTGTGAGTCAGTCTGCATTCCCCCTGACCCTGAGACTGTTAGCACCAGAAACTTGAGGCTTTTTGTCATGGGTCACTACATCCTCCACAGTCTTGTAAAATGCCCGCCTTGTGTTGATCCCAATTCATTGTAACCGATTTCCTCCAGTGTGTAGAAACTTGGGGTGTTGTTGTAAAGCATTACATGCCGTGTCTGCCACAGAGCCAGGACCAGGAACCCAAAAGTAAGAGTGCATTCTCTCGTTCCCAGCGCCCTTCCTGATCAGAGCGCCCCAGTTGCTTCCACGCACAGTGTGAGCAGCGCGGCCACGCCCGACCGCATCCGTTTCCCCAGAGGAACTGCCAGCCGAAGCACTTTCCACGGCCAGCCTCGGGAACGGCGGACAGCCACCTACAATGGTCCACCTGCCTCGCCCAGCCTGTCCCACGAAGCCACACCCTTGTCCCAGACTCGAAGCCGGGGCTCCACTAATCTCTTTAGTAAATTAACTTCAAAACTAACAAGGAGGTAAGTGCAGGGCACTGGCGGTGAATGCTTCTGTCAGTATGACTGGGAAAGGCAGCCACTCATCTTCTGGCCCTTGGAGGTCTTGGGGGTGGGCACAGTCCTGAGCACACACTGTCCCCTGACTACCCTCTGCTGAGGGTACCTCAGGTGCTGTTTGTGGGCCCACGTTGGCTCAGCTCCGTGCTGATCTCCGGAGGTGTGGAGAGGAAGCACCTGGCTCGCTGTCAGGAGCAGCAGTTTCCGAGGCTGTGTAGCCAGGACCCAGGCTGACTGGAGCCTAGGGGCCTCTGCCAGGACCTGAGAGCCTGGGACTGGAGTGTCGGTCCCTACCTTATTCTAGCGGGTCACAGAAGCCTAAAAACACTGTAGGCGAGGTGCCATTCCACCCCATAACAAGGAGTGAAAGGTAATCAGGAAACCTCCCAAACTCCCCCAAAGAAATTCTCTTCAATTCAGAGCATACGTGGGGCCTGTGGGGAGCCACTGGGCAGAGCCCCTCATCCTGTGCCTTGAAGGCCCACATTGCCCAGATGCCCTGCTTTGTCAGAGCTGTGAGTCCTGATGCTCAGGGAGTCCATCTGATAGCTGTTAGCTCCGAGTGGAGCCACATGGACCCTATTGTTGTCCCCTCGGACCTTCACCCTAAACTGGGCAAGCAGCAGCCCAAGTACAAGCATTGGCTGATGGGGCCCCTGAATGTTCTAAGCAGAAAAAGTCCAATCCCAAAGGGTCTGCTGACCCAGGTCATTGTACTGCATTCCTTTCAGATTGCCCCCCGACCTGTCCCAGGCCTCCCTGTCCCTCATGCCTTCCTCAGGGACTAGACTGAAATGGAATCTGCCTCTGAAGCTGAGGTGGGAGAAGCTGCACCCCCTGAGCAGCCCCCTCCTTTCTCTGCAAGCCCCGTGCACTGCCCGTCCCTGCACACTGGTCTGCGGTGGGCTCCTTAATAAAGCCTCACATGTAATATAAATCCTGGACATTAAGTAATTGTCTTCTTTGTGCTCGTTCCTGGTTTTATTAATACAATCAGTTGATAAATAATCCTACCTACCATTTAGTGGCTGCTTCCTGTGTGTATTTGAACTCCACATCTTCCCTGGAGATGGAGAGGGCAGCACCTGTCCTCCAGAGCTTACAGACCTGAGTGCATCCCACCTCCTCTGTAGGACCAGGCTCAGGGGTGGCTCGGAGTCCCTCCTCTGGAGCCTGGTGTTCAGGAGATACTGCCTCATTCTGTACCACTGGCCTGTGGAGTGGACAGTTACCCATCTCGAGATGAAGAACCCAAATGATTCTCCAGCTCAACTCAGCTGGGACACACCGCCACTGCTCCTGGCCCTTCCCGGCGACACTGTCCCAGACACCACACTCCCCTTAAGGAACCCAGTGGTGTAGTGCTTAATGTGATGGGCTACTACTACCTGAAAGGTTACCAGTTCACATTCACCAGGTGCTCCTCAAGAGAAAAACAAGCCCTGCCCCTCCGCTAAACAATGACAGCCCAGAAACCCAGCTCACAGTTGTTGAGAGTCAGAATCGACAATGGCAGTGGGTTCTTCTGGTTCCAGGAAGTCTGGTGGCACAGTGGTTAAGCATGCCAGCCAGACTATGAGAGAAGAGATCTGGTGAGCTCCTCCTATAAAAACCACAGCTTAGGAACCTCACAGACCTGGTCTACCCTTTCCTGCACAGTGTTAGGAGCCACCATTCACCAAACTGCAACAAAACTGAGTCTTCCTTTGTCTCTAGCTCAAAAGTTGAGGGATTTTGGGGGACTCAGTGATAGAGTTGCCCTGCCAACCCAGGGTTCATGGCTCCACCAGCTCCTCTACAGGAGGAGGCTGAGCTCGTAGGCGATTCGACTGCCTTTCCAAGCTCGCTGGAGAGTCACCACTGTCTCAACTCTCATAACAGCAACATGGTTCAGAAGAACCTCTTTCATTACAGTTAATGTCAGTACCTAGTGCTAAATTCTTCCTTACAAATAGAGATTTTTTAAATTTTTTATGTAAAAGACCTATACTCATTTAATTACCTAATATATTAACTTTCAACAGATGTCCCTGTTCCTTGGCCAGCATAGGAGCACAGCTTTATTTGTGTTTTTCTTTAATTGGCTAAAATTTCAATTTATTTTGTGCAAGTTATTTTTTAGTAATTTTTTTTTTTTTGGCTTAATTTCTTTTAGAAACATGTCATTCAGGTTTATCAAAAGGTAGGATTTATATGTGCACTTTTCCCCCATCTTCTCCCCTTGTCGCTCCTGCAATTAACACAGGTTTGGCTTCCTAGCCCTGTTTTTTCCCTTTAAAAAACTAAACTTCCTGCTGAGAACTAAGTACTGATTTCTCTGAAAGGACATCGGAGAGAAGTGCATGAACGCTGTGAGGCATCACGAGGGGACAGCGGCCCACCTTCCCCGGGCCTGCGCATGTTCTGGGCAATTTCTCGAGTAGAATGATGAAGCATCCAGAAAATTCTGTCTTCATACTAATAACACTTAGCATGTCTCAAAAATGTGATTCGGGGCGTTGTGCACTGGCTGATGCCTGGCCTGTGGTGTGCGGGACGTGAGTGGCTTGGCCATTTGTCCATGACACTGACCACTGATCACAGAGGGCGTTGAGGCAGATGGCCAGTGGCATGACATCACACCTGATGACTCCTTGGGTTGGCCAGGAGCAAGGATGTGGCAGCTGCCATAGCACAAGCATCTTAATGTCACACAGACTTGAAGATTAAGAGCATTCTGCCAAAGTCACTTTCTGCAATACCTGAGTGTGGGTCCTGCAGCTTTTGTAGACGTCACTCAGATGTCACCTGTCAAAGAAGCACAAGCTTTGTTGCAAAGAAAACTCCACCGGCCCTGCTACACCATCCCCCTCCGCACCCTTCCTCAGAGCCCTCACATGACCCCCACTCCAGACTCTCAGGCATACCGCACCTGGCCTCCATCTCAGAGCCCCACTCACACCACACCCAGTCTGCTCAGACCCCTCACCTGACCCCACTTCAGAGCCCTAGAGCACACCACACCTGACTGCCACCTCAGAGCGCATACCAGACCTCAGAGTCTGATCGGTCACCCCCATCCGTCCGCGGAGCCCTGGTCACACCACACCCCGTCCATCATCAGAGCCCTAGGACACAGCACACCTGACCTGCCTCTCAGCCCTGGTCACACCACACCTCAAAGTTGTACCAGACTGCCACCTTGGAACCCTGGGATGACACCCCACCACTGCCCCTCCAGCTCACCCAGGCATGTCTGCTGACTGTGAGCAAAGGGCAGGCTCCCATCTGAGCCCAAAACCACCCAGAGGCACCCCTCTCACACACGTGACCCTAAGATTCACTTTCTACAGCTGCCAAATTTCTCCTCAGACGGAAAATGTCACAAAGGGTAATTAGCCTGCAGCTAATTACCACGAGGCTCCTTTGCACTGGAAACCTGTCACTTGGTGGGGGTGAGGCTGGAAAGTATGAGAACTGCAGCCTCGACATGAATGTGTTCAGGATGAGTGCCTGGCGGAAGCGCGACAGCAGAGGGGCCAGCCACCTGCTGTCCAGCACTTTGCTGTGTAGACGGTGTGATGTTGCTTCACACGTGGGGGTTGTGTACTGCTGTGTAAGACTTCTTTTCTCTCTCCCACTTTTCTACATTCTTCTCATTGAGGCTTCCAACTGACTATGAAAGGAACGGGAGATATGAGGGCTCAAGGTGAGGGAAACGCTTTTTATGCCAATGTGTTGTGGGTGTTTGTCTCACCTCTGTGACAAGCCACCCTGCATGTTCTGCCATCTGTCCTGCCTTCCCCAGTGCTGCCCCGCTGACCACATGAGGGCGCCAGTGTGCCCCTTCCTTCCCAGAGTTGGGCGTGGAGCCAGGCGTGAGGAGCCCAGGAGGGAGCCCTGACTCTGCTCTCCTGACCTCCGACTCCAGGACCCCTTGTTCCCCAGGGACTCTGCTCTAAGGCCGAGGGACAAGTGCAGATGAGTGTTGATTCAAACGTGTAGCTGTCCCTCCTCGAGTCAGGGTCATGCGTGGGCATGAGAGCTCATCGTCCCCGGCTTGTGAGCGCTGGTCCTCTTGACCTGGTCCTCAGCGCTCACTGCCTCACTGGGTGATCTCCCTGCTTGTCCCCAGGCTGGTTCTGTTGAGACAGAGACCCTCCCTCAGTGCCCACTGTCTGTCAGACCCTGTCTGCGTTGGTGCTGCGGCTCAGTGCCCACCCACTCCACCCACCCCTATGCCCAGCCTGACCCTGTGTGGTCATGGGGACTCAGGACATATGGGCCACAGACCAATCCCCCTCACACTCACCTCCATCCTGGTGGCCCTGCAGCGCTCTGCTCATGACCTTCATGGAGATTTGTCCTCAGGAGGCAGCCCCCACCATGCTCAGCTGTGAGCGCCTGTCCACAGCTGCGTTGCCCACACTGTACCCACTGTGTCAACAGGAGGAGGTGGTCATGTGGAAAAGTGGACAGGGGAGCTGTGGCTTGCACTGCCGTTGGAATCGGCACACACGTCACAGAGGTTTGCTGTGCTCATGGTCCCCACAGGGGTATCCAGGTGGATGCCTCCTTTATAGCAATGAGCTGAGCCAGCCAGGCTGTCAGATGGCAGCAGGGCAGGAGGGTGGCCCCAAGGCTGGCCCCTGCACAGTGGGCAGTCTTAAGACACCTGGGTGACGCCTGGTAGAGTGGACGTTGAGTGCCATGCTAGAAGAGGCCTCGAGTCTGTGAGCAGTGCCCCCAGCCTGTCTGCTCTGTCCCCAGGCGGCCTGGTCCCTCCTTTCCTCGACTTTGAGCAGCTCCTTCTTGACGGGTGCACTCACCCCCTGGTCAGAGGGAGGGTCTGCCTCCTCGAGGTGAAGGCACAGCGCCGGGGCCAGTGCTGTTGAGAGTAACCTGCCTTGTGCATTGCAGCCGCCACGTGTCTGCCGAGCAGAAGGACGACGGCAGAGAGGCCAGGCCGCGCTCGCTACGCTTCACGTGGAGCATGAAGACCACGAGCTCCATGGAGCCCAGCGACATGATGCGGGAGATCCGCAAGGTGCTGGATGCCAACAGCTGTGACTACGAGCAGAGGGAGCGCTTCCTGCTCTTCTGTGTCCACGGCGACGGACACGCCGAGAGCCTCGTGCAGTGGGAGATGGAGGTGTGCAAGCTGCCCAGACTGTCCCTCAACGGCGTCCGCTTCAAGCGGATATCCGGCACGTCCATCGCCTTCAAGAACATCGCTTCCAAAATCGCCAACGAGCTGAAGCTGTAGCCCAGTCACCGTGGTGCGAATCAAGCAGCAGCCCCAAGTGTTTTCCCAGACAGTGAGGAGATGTGAACCGTGCTCAGCAGTGAAACCCGGACAGGACAGGCTGAGAGTGAGCGCTGAGCGAGGCTGGTCCTTCCTCGTCCACGCACTACAGTAGCCATGGGAGCCCCCCGTGTGCTCCCTGTCGCCCGAGCATCCCATTCCATCGGCGGCCACATCGGTTCCGAGTCCCTCTGTGGGAGATCATTTGGTGCTAAAACATTAAAATTGCCAAGGAGGAAAATACTGAGTTGTACTACGCATTAGCCTGAAGCCTTGTTGACAATTAATACAGGTTTACAGTTCATGACTGTGGTTTGTGTTTGTTTCGTGGGGTTTTTTTAGTGCAAAAGGTTTAAATTTACAGTTGTGAACATTGCTTGTGTGTGTTTTTCTAAGTAGATTCCAAGATGATTAAAAATTCACTTTTTCTCAGTAAAACCTCAAATTGTCTCCTGATAACTATATTTAATGGAAAGTGATGACAGTCCCTCAAACTGCCCCACCTCCCAGCTGTGTGGGACAAGTGGCCACGGCCCTGAGGACACTTGTTCACACAGACCCCTGTCAGGCCCTGGGGCACTGGGGCTCACAGCTAGTTCCCCGTGTGGCACACCCTTTAGTGTTCTGTGATTCAGAGTGTGGACTTGGCCAGCTTGTTCCAGCCCTTAGCTGTCCTGTGGAGGGTGGTGCACTGGTCCTTGAGCTCCACGTCCTCCCTCCCAGGGACACAGTGTTCTTAGAATCTAGATGGCCCACCCACAAGTATGTTATGGAGACCATCCCACCAAGCCCACTCCTCCTCAAAGGCGTCTTGCCTTCCATCAGGGCGGCGGTCAGTCTCTGATGGGGATGAGGTAGTGGACACCACAGAGAACTGAGGGACAGGGCTGAGAGCCTCTGACAGAAACAGCTGCATCCACCAGGCCTGTGGAGGAGGATTCTGGCCAAGGCCCAGGCCCAGGGAGTTGTGGGATGTCTTCAGGCAGGTCGGGACTGGTGCCATGCCCCAAGGCAAATTGTTGACACTGGAGGACTCAAGCTGGCTGGACCTCAGTTATGTCCTCTCGGGGAGCTTGGCTGGGGGAGCTGACAGAGCCTGTGTAGCAGTGTGGACAGGGGCTATGCCCAAGGCACTTCTGAAATGAGTTCTCTGTCCACGTGACAATCTGTGGCGGCCTTGAGTGCTTGGCTACTAGGTTGGTGGTTTAAACCCACCCAGAGGCACTTCGAAAGGCAGAGCCTGACCCTGTGAGGCAGCCGTACACTGCACGACAGGCACAAATCAGGATCCGTCGCGATGGGTCACTGCCACGTGGGCTGGAGGTGGCTGCTGTGGTGGTTTGTAGGTGAAGGGACTGGACTCGGCCGTGGGCATGCTGCATGTGAGAAGTCTAGACTCTGGTCGTGAGCCCACCCCATCGTGTCTTCGCAGAGTCTGTCCCACCTCCTCCAGGTTCCTCAGGGAATGTGCAGGGTCACTGGCAAAGTGGGGGTGTCCCTGGACTTCTACTGGGCTGCTTGGTTCCTGCATCTGATTAAATGCCACGATCGGTGGTTGTTTTGACAGAGCAAGGAGATACTCTGGTTTAAAGTCAGAAAAAGTGTGTCAGCATGGCAGCCTTTTACCTTAGTCCATGTGCTGAGCAGATCAGAAGAACTGGAGCATGTGGCATCCTTGTAATAGAGCCTTGCTTACTGAAGTTGATGGGGCCACAAAGCACTTGGTGGTGAACAGGAAACAGCCTCACAACTGGACCAGAAGGCAGCATCCTGCTCGCCCTACGAGAGCCTGAAGATGCTGAGAATTTCGTTGTACCTGGATCCCCTTTCCGTGCTCATGGAAGCAGCAATTAGGAAATAAAAGTACATGCTCGAGTGAGCACATTGGCTGGAAAAGACCTCTTGAGGTGTTGCAAGCAAGCAGGTCACTCTGAGGACCCGGATTGCAGGCTTTTCCATCACCTCGTGAGTAAAGGAGGGGTTACTGGCGCTTCTGAATCACCATGTTGAGAGAGTTGATTGCCCTGGGCTGCAGAGGAGGGGCGAGTGTGTGAAGTGCTGCCTGGATGTTCTGCAAAGCAGAGACTTCACCTGTGTGATTGCTCCGGAGAGGAGAGGATCCGGGCACAAGAGACTGGCAGTGCCGTGGACTGTGCGTGGCTGCTGTGGTGTCCCCAAGCCGTACTGACTGGGCGGACGGCAGCTTGTGTTGCGTGCAGGGTCGCTGTGGGTTAGAACCAACCCCACAGCATCACCACCACTTGGGGACGTGTCCAGGAGAATGTCCTCTGTTCCTCTAGGCACCCGACCAGCCAGGCCAGTGCTGCTAAATGGGGTTGTGTGAACATGAGCTGAGCCTCCACGGGCTCCTGCCTGGGGTCTCCCTCAGTGTCTGAGCCTGGTGACCCCACAGGCAGACAAGGCCAGGCCACCCTGGACCCCGCTTCTCCCAAATGTCTTCACAGGCAGGCACGGACATTCTGGGTGTTAAACTAAGCCCACCATTGGGGGGCAGCGGCAGTGGCTGCTACATGTCCACTGTCCGCGGAGGCTGGAGCTGAACGATGGTGACTGACGGGGGCAGGCCGGTGGGCTGTGAAGTAGCACACTGCCAGCAGCATGGGGCACAGCCACAGCCCAGGCCTGCATCCCATCTCCGTGTTCCCAGTGAATCTGGGGAGGGATGCTATATGCAGCTGAAGACCTCTCGGGCACCTGTCCTCCGCTGGCCAGCACTTCACACAGAGGGCCATTTCCCCTAGAGTCGCCATCCACCAGAAGGGCAAGTTTTTGAGGACTCTGTCCATGCCAAGGACCCTCCGCAGCCAGGGTTTGTCCATCTGTCCACCATCCAGCCTCTCCCTTACGCAGCATCTTGCTGAGCTAGAGGAAGGGTTCAGACTTGGGCCCACTGGACCTGCATAGTGTGTGTGTGTCTGTGATTGTTGCCGAGGACCCTTGGGCACCTCATTCCTCTCCTGTCAAGAGTTCCCGCCCTCAGCTGCGGTGAGATGCCAGCTGAGCCCCACGGTTCATCACTCGGTTCCTTGTCTCAGCTGAGTATTTCTGGATGACCCACCTAACCCCAAGAGTGGGCCAGTCCCACGTGGTGAAGAGGTGGACGCGGTCAGGCCAGCCGTGGGACTGCTAGGGGGGCAGGTGTGTTCGGGGGGGTCACACTCAATGTGAGGACAGCTCTGCCCTGGGCTGGACACACAGGCCAGCATGTGGCAGACCAGGATCCAGCCACCTGTCTGTACCACAGGGCGGAGGTAGTAAGTAGTGACGGGCAAGAGGAGTCCTCACAGGCAGTATCACGTGACCACACCCTGCGGAGCTCTCCAGACAGTGTCACATGACCACTCCAAGCAGGGAGGGCGTCTTGGGAGTCCTGGGCAGCCTGGTGCCAGCTGACCTCAGGATTTGTCAGCAAAGTGAGGCAGGCAGTCTTGGCCCCGAGAGACAACAGGCTGACCCGGTCGGCCCCAGGATTAGAAGCCAGAGCTGCTGCAGGCGGCTTATCCTCTGCGTCTTCCGGTCAGCTCTTGACATCTGGTCTTCGATTTTGCCAGCCCAGAGAGGGGGGTGGAGGTCAGGACCCGGGAGCCAGTTACCTCCAGCGTGGGCTGTTGGAGTCAGCAGTGCCACAGAGAAGGGCCGGTGATGGCTTCTGCGAAGGTGGCAGCGACAGAAGCCCAGAGAGGACAGCTGCCATGGCCCAAGGGGTCATTCTGAGCCCAGAGTGATTCCACATCAGTGACCAGTCCTGAAGGATCCCCAATGGCCAGGAGGCCTTCCTGGTGGGGTCCACGTGAGCAGAGCGCCCGGTTACAGGGCGGATCTTGGAAGCCGTGGAATGCCAGGTTGGCTCAGAAACAAATGTAGAAGCGCCTACATGAACATCCACGTACACGCCCCACCTTCGAGCTGCTGCTACCAGAAGCCTGGCCCCCACGTGGAGGTCTGGACCCCGTCGGGAGGCCGAGCTGTGCAGAGCTAGGATGTGGGCCCGCCGGTGGCCCTGGGCCGGTCAGTCACCTCCTGAGCCTCGTTTCCCCATCTGTGGGAGAGAATTCCTTGTGACTCAACCCCAGGGAACTGACAAGCAGGGAGGGGGACTTGGTGAGGTCTCCCACAACTGTAACAAGTTAGAGCACTTCTTGAATAATACATTGAATTTTAAAAGAACTTCCTGGAGCTTACATAACCCATGTTCACGGGTTTGGACTGGGTGCCACGGAGGAGAGGAGGCCGTCACCTGTTGCCCCCATCTGCTGTGAGTCTCTACCATGCGTGTTCTGTGTAGGATCTTAGGGCACAAGCTGTCTTCTACCTGACATGTCACATGGGCCCATGGAAAGGGGGTTTTCCCCCCTCTGGCCACTGGGTCACGTTTAGGAGTAGCTGGGGGCGCAGTGTTGCCTCGCGGGGGACACTGACTATGGGTGTCACAGGTGACGGTGGTGAGGTAAACACAGGTTATCCATTGCAGTCACAGCACGCCCTGGACATGGCACCAGTGTGGACGTTCTTGTTGAGTGTGGCCAGGCTGTTAACCAGAACAGCATGGATATCTGAGCCCTATGTCCCAAAGCAGCCTGAAGTGTTGGCTGTCCACGTCTGACCCCACACCGCAATTCCAGGCACAGACTGACACTAATGTGCGTGGGTAGAGGGCTCCAGAGCTGGCAGGGCACTGAGGGGCCTGGGCCTGGCAGTCATTGCTCCAACTGGAGCCAGTTATGTCCCCAGTAGCCCAGCCCGGGGAGTGGGAACGAAGGAGAAAACAGGCCTTGAGCCTCAGGGAAGTGGCCAGCCCAGGCGGTGCCAGTGCGCTCCAGGGTGGCCTGCAGTGGGCCCTCCCCTTTGAGCCATCGTGCACCCTGGTGGCCCTCTCTGACGCAAAGGGAAGCATGGGACATTTTCTTTGTAGGGAAGTGCCTGTCCCCAGGCCCTGGGGGCTGCTTAGGCGCAGTTGTCAGGGAGAAGTGACATCCCGGGAGGTTGGCAACCAAACCCAGGAGATCCCCCCCAGCTGCAGCGGAAGCCAAGGCCCCAGGGACACAGATAGTGAGACTCCACCCACAGGGGGTCATTCCTGGGCACATGTCCTCCCAACCCCCTCCAAGCGAAGGGGTGGTTTCTGATAGCCTTCACCCCTCAGCCCTGTCACCCTGGGGTGAGCACAAAAAGGGGGCCCGGACCCTAACCCCATCCCACAGAACTGCACAGAAAAGGACAGCAATTTTATCCAGAATCTTCCAGCTCAGTCTGGGAATAGAGCAAATCAACACCCACCCCCACCCCCCCACCCCATGTGGGAATTACCTCTGGCCACCACAAGGCTGGGAGCTCTAGGCCCCGCCAGGTGCCCCCAGTGAGTACACATACACACCACGCTATCCCTATAGCCAGGCCTCCCAGCTCCCCAAGAAGGGAGCCTGGGCAGAAGAGATGGCACCAGGCTAGACTGGGGCAGAGAGGGTCGGAAAGGGTCTCCTGGGCACAGACTCAGCCCTCCGACCCCAGAGTCCTGCAGAATGGGGGTGTGCGGGGTCAAGGTTAGAGCACCACAAAGACCAAAAGGCAGGTCAAAACCCTAGTTTATTTCAGCATCAGTGACACCTTAGCCATCAAAAAATATAACTCTACCACGGGGGACTGGAGTATCTACAGCGAGGCTAAGGTCTGGGCCGCTGCAGGCAATAAGTTAGGTGGTGGCAGCCTCACTTCTGCGCAGGCATCAGGTCATCAATGGGCTGGCCCTGCTCCAGCCGCTGCTCCATGTCAATGAGCAGCTTCACTCCGTCCACCACCATCTGTACCAGCTCCACCTCCGAGAAGCCCAGGCGGTCAGAGTTGGAGACATCGAAGACCCCGCCCACGGCAGCTGTGTCCACTCCACCTAGAGGATTGTGGAACCAACCGGTGAAGACACTGGCCATCCAGGACCCACCTGCTCCACTCCCCTGGCCCAGCCTACTCACCTGTGCCCCGCTTCTGCAGCCGTAGCCTTTTGAGCACCTCCGAGAACTTCTCGTGCTGGCCCAGATGGGGCAGCTTGATGTGCACACCTGCCCGCAGCCCCGTGCCGAGGTTGGAGGGGCAGGTGAGGATGTAGCTCAGGTGAGGGTTCCACATGAACTCGTAGTTCTTAGCCTTGAAAAGTGTTTCAATCTGGAGGGCAAGGAGAGGTCTGAGAGGAGCTCCCCGAGGGGCGGGCCAGCAGCCCTCCTGCCACCAGCCACCAGCCAGTCTCGGGGAAGGCTAACCTGGGTGAGGCCAGTGCAGAAGCGGGTGAACACCTCCTTCATGTTGCCTCCCTTCTGCATGGAGATGACCCTCAGGTGGTCCTCCTCATTGACCCAGACCAGGAAGGTCTTGTTGTCATTGTGCCTGGGGAGAGTCAGAGTCAGTGCCCTCCTCCCTGTCACCCCTGAGGCCCCTGGGAGCCCCAGGCCAGAGCCACCTGACAATTCCCAGCTGTCGCCAGGAGTGGCCAACCACCAGACCTCACGGGAACGCCAGAAGAACAAGCAGGGACAGCCAGCATTTCCTGATCCCTTAGTGAGGGTGGGCACAGACGCACCCTGACACCAGAACACCAGAGCAGGAAAGCCAAGGTTGTGTCTGAGCACCGAAAGCCCCCCCCCCCCACGCCCCCAGTCGAGCGGGCCGTCTGGAAGCTTCTGCGTCAGGCAGCACCTGGCAGCGTCCCCGCAGGGGGAGGGGGTGAGAAAAGCGAACAAGAGGCTTCAGCTGCCGCGAGGTGAGGGTGGGGGGCAGGGGAAGAGAAGCTGGCAGAAGTCTGGTCCCCCCCCCCTTGCAGGTCCCAGGAGCCCTGCATACACCTGTGCCACCAAGGTCACCTGAAGGAGGCCGGGCGGTGCCAAAGCACGGGCAGCCCCACCTTCTTCCTCCTCCAAGTGCGCCCCACCCCGCAGAGACAGTGGGGCCATACACAGGGGACCGGGTGGGGACTGGGAGGGAGACAGCTAGGACAAGGGGGCCCATGGATGGGGTCCAGGTGGGGAGGTTCTCAGCGGGGACAGGGGATGGGGGGACGGGGATGGGCCGCGGAGAAGGAGGGGCGCAGGCGGGCGGAGGGCGTACCAGATGCCGCGGGCGTCCGGCCAGTCGCGGGCCATGCCGGAGGCCAACAGCAGTGGTGACACTGGCTTGTCGAAGAGGAAGTGGTCGTCGATGAGCTGCTGCTGCTCCGCCTCGGTCATGCTCTTGAGCTCGTAGTAGCGGCCCGCCAGGTCGCCGTCCAGGCTGGCCAGGGCTGCGGAGGGGAGCACTCAGGGCCGGCGGCCTCCCCGGGGACGCGTAACCCTCCCCGTCGCCCGCGTAACCCGCCGGGCCCGGAGCCGCGCGCCCCACCTTCCACCGCCAGCTTCTCGATGGCGCGGCGCTCCCCGCGGCTGCAGTGGGGGGGCAGGCAGAAGCCGCGGATGCTGCGGCCCGTGCGCACCCGGGAGCTCAGCACGTAGTTGGGGTCCAGGTCGTCGCCGCCCTGGGGGGACGGGGAGCAGCGGGGTGAGCGGGCGCCCCTCCCCCGGCCTGCACGCTCCCCGCGCCCCGCGCCCCGTCCCCACCTGCAGGTTGTCGGGGTTCAGGTCAGTCTTGTGCTCGTCGGTGGGCTTGTAGCCGCCGTGACGGTCCTCGATGATTGGGTCCATCAGGTCCTTGAACACCTCGTAAGATTCCTCGTCGCCCGCCACGCAGCCCACGGTCATGATGAACGGATGGCCTGGGGGACCGGGGAGAGTGACGTCACTGCAGGCCGGCCGGGCGGTGCACGGACACTGCGACTGCGCGCGGGCCCGGGGGACCCCACGGGCCGCGCGGGGGTCGAGGGGCGCGTACCGGGGTTGTCCACGCCGGTCTGGATGACGTCGTCGAGCGTGAAGCCGCTCGAGGTGCTCTTGGCCTGCAGGTCGGCATACAGCTCGGGTGTCAGCACCTTGGCCATGTGGTTGTTGTGGCAGCTCAGGTCCGGGTACTCGTCCTCC